CGAGAGTCAATCCACAAGATCCTCAAAGAAGAAGACTGTGGTGTTTACAAAGCTAAGAGTCGAAAGGGGAGTTTACGTGTTTGACTATTGGGTTGACCCGGAAGAGATGAAAGGCCACATGTCGGGAAACTCCCGGCAGGCCAAGCTGTAAGCCCGTTAGAGATGAAAACCACCGGCGAAGTGGGAACTTCGACCGATTCGGTCGGGCCTGCAGAGCCGACAGAAAGCCAGAAACCAAAGGTAGCGAGAAACGTGACAAACCCAACTGAACAGGAATTAATGGAGCACCAAGCAACTGCACATGCGGTGCATCGATCGTGGTGTGGACATTGCATGAGAGCGAGGGCTACATACGCAAAGCGCTCGACAGTTTCACGAGACGAAGAGAGCGAACTGCCAATCGTCTCAATAGACTACTTTTTCTTTGGGGACAAAGACGGGGAGACGCAAACATCCAGGTGAAAGACAACAGGTCGAAAATGGTTTGGGCAACCACTATCCCGACAAAGGGGCCAGACACGTTCAGCGTAAATTTCATTTTGGCTTGTCTGAACGAAACCGGCTACAAAAGGCTCATTTTGACGAGTGACAATGAACCGGCCATTCTTGCCTTAAAGAACGAAGTGAAGGCACAAGCAAAAGATGTGGAGATCATCATGCAGGAATCGCCGACAGGCGACCACAGTGCAAACGGATCGGTGGAAGTAGCAGTCCGAGACGAAAAGCGGCAAGCACGAGCGTTGCTCAGTGAGCTCGAGGAGAACCTCGGCAAGTTGGAGGACACTCATCCTTTGTTGACCTGGCTAAGCAGACATGCGTCGTTCTGTTTGGGAAGGTTTGCAATCCAGGATGATGGAAGAACTCCATATCAAAGATTAACAGGTCGAAAGTGGAATCGACCAATGGTGACTTTCGGAGAGAGGATCTACTTCAGACCGTTGGATGCATACAAGTCGAAAGACAGCGAGATAGAGAGAAAGGAAGGCGATTTGGGCCGACGAGTTCTGAGCGGCCACTACGTTGGAACACATGGACGCAATGCAGACGTCCTGGTGATGACAACCCCAGGTGTGATCAAAGGAAACACAATCCATCGGAAGCCAGAAGCTGAGCGATTGGGATCGTTCAGAGTTGAAGGACTTGAAAGGAGTCCCATGGAAACTCCGTCCAAGAAGTGAAGAAGGTGTGGAACACAGGTTGCGCATCAAACTTCCGGAGACAACGCACCGATTGACTCCGAGTACACGAGATGGAGGACCGAGACAGCTCTATGTTCGGAAGAAGGACTTGGAGCTCGAAGACGGCGCGATGGACTACACTCCAGGGTGTAGAGGTTGTGAAGCATTGATGATTGGATTGCCAGCAGTGACACACAATGCAGCATGCAGAATGAGGGTTGGACAGCGCCTCGAAAAGACAGAAGAAGGTAAGAAGAGGCTGGCTGATGTGGAAAGAAGGCAAGAGCAAGATAAGGAGAAGAAAAGCAAGCCTGCGATCACAGGATTGCCAGATCCAACTGAGAGCGAAGTGAGAGCTTCGGTTGCACTTGGACGGCCGGAAGAAGAAAGCTCCAAAAGGAGTCAGAGCAAAGAAGGAGGAGGAAGCCCAAAGAAAGCGAAGACCGTGCAGACAGAGAAGCGAGCTGGAAGTTCGTTGGATGACCTGTACCATGACGAGATTGGAGATGTAGGACCTTCGGTTGTTTCAATCGGAGAGCCAACAGGAACCAGTGCAGCACCTTCAGCTGCTTCAGCAGGAGGGGCAGCATCAGGTTCAGCAGCGCCTGGTTCGAACCTTAGCTACGATCAATTTTGGTCGCCCGCAGTTCCCAGAGACGTTCAATCATTGTTTCACTTGAGTACTGTAGCAGAAGTTGACGAGGAGTTGATATCAGATTTGAAATCGTTAGGAGCCCATGACGTCACAGAGGTGTTTTCGCCTCCGAGATTCACAGACAAATGCAAAAGCCTACGGATTACTCCCAGGCTATGCAATCGACCTTGAAACCGGTTGGAACCTGTTGGACAAGACTCAGGTGAAGGAACTCGAAAAGGTTGTTGATGAAGAAGACCCATATCTACTGACTGGGTCTCCACCGTGTGGTCCGTTCTCACCACTACAGAATCTCAATAAGGGAAAGGTAGATCGTGAAGTGGCGCAGCAACGCCTCGAAGATGGAAAACAGATGCTTGAGACGGCGTGCGAGTTTTACGAGAGACAGATCCGAAGAGGCCGATATTTCTCACATGAACACCCGAAGACGGCCAGCAGTTGGAAAGAAAGATGCATAGAGAAGTTGGCCGACATGGATGTTGTGCGTACCATAGAAGGACCGATGTGTCGGTGGAAAATGGTATCTAGTGACGCAACAGGAAAATCCTTCGTGAAGAAGCAGACCAAATGGCTGACCAATTCCCCAGTACTGGCAGAGATACTGGAAGGAGTCTGTAGCAACGAGATTCCAGGAAAAGGTTGGCATCGGCATGTTCACTTGGTGAACGGCAGAGCAAAAATGGCTCGGATTTACCCTCCGGAACTAGGCCATTGTCAAAGGAATCAAACGGCAGATGCAAGAAGATGGTGAATACAGAGAAATTCACTGGCTAGAAGCAGGACCAAGCCCAGATGAAGACACGCGCCTGGAAGACTACGAAGAGGAGTTTCTACCAACATGCTCAGAGAAGAAAGTAGGAAAGACAGGAGAAGAAGACCCGATATTCTACGACGATGTTACTGGTGTACAACTTTCCACAGAAGGAGTGCTGAAAGCGCGTGAGGAAGAATTAGCTTGGGTGCACAAAGCCAAGATCTACGAGAAGCGGCCATTGGATGAGTGTTGGAGTGTTACCGGAAAACCTCCAATCACTCTAAAATGGATAGACCGAAACAAAGGGGATCGAGAACGTCCAAATTACCGCTCACACATAGTGGTGAGAGAGATCAAGAAGCAACATGGCGCACTTCCAAGACATATGTTGTTTTCGAACATGCCACCTCTGGAGGCAGCAAAGTTACTTTGCAGCGACCTTGCTACCAGAAAGAAAAGTAGAAGCGGAAAAGCACTGCAACTGGCATTGTGCGATATCTCACCAGGCGATGAGCAAGAAGGTATGTGTGCATTGTTGCTCAAAACAATGTACGGAACTCAAGACGCTGCTCATGTCTGGCAAGATGACTATAGCAGCCACTTGAAGAACAACAACTTCATCCAGGGAAGCGCATGGACTTCAGTGTTCAGGCACAAAGACCGAGATATCAAACTCCTAGATTCATGGAGATGATTTCTTAGTGCTTGGAGACGCAGAGGATCAAACATTCATGCAGAAGGTATTGAGCGAAAGGTACGAATACCGTTGTGACGGTGCAATCGGAGAAGAAGCCAATGAGCACCTTACAATTCTGAACAGGATTGTCAGTTATGACCGGAAAACGGGCGCCGTAATGTATGAAGCTGACCCGAGACACGCTAAAATGATCATAAGACAGTTAAACCTGCAAGAATCGAAAGCGGTTGCTACGCCAGCAGAAAAGAAGAAAAGTTCAGATGTTCTTGCGGCGATGGGACTGCCACCATTAGCGGCAGAACAAACAACTTTCTTCAGAAGCCTGGTGATGAGAGCGCAATTTCTTGCACAGGATCGAGCTGACCTAAGTGAAGCGGTGAAGTCGTTGACGAGAAAGATGAAATCGCCAAATGAAGCAGACATGAAAGACCTGAAGAGATTAGGAAGCCAAGAGTAGTGAACGTGTTCTACCCACAACGTGAGACAAGAATCATCAAGAGATATTGCGACGGTGACCATGCTGGATGTCTTGTCACAAGAAGAAGTACGACTGGATATACAGTGTCCATTGGTCGTCATTGTATCAAACATGGATCAAATCTTTAGAGCACTATATCACTCAGCTCAGGAGAGAGTGAATACTATGCTCTTGTCAGAGCTTCGGCTATAGGACTAAGCGTGAAGGCTCTAAAGCAGGATTGGGGAGATGAATGCGAACTGGTAATTCATAGCGATTCATCGGCAGCCAGAGGAACAGCAAGCAGAAGAGGTTTAGGTAAACTTCGACATGTACAGACGAGATACCCATGGCTACAAGAAAGAGTGGCATCGAATGACTTGAAGATCGTAGCGATTGGAACAAAGCACAGCACAGCTGTTTTGTGTACAAAGCCTGTGAACAAAGAGACATGTGAACGACACATGAAAACATTGTGTCAAGAATTCAGAGCTGGAAAAAGCTCTAGGTGCAAAGACTTTGGAATCATCACAAGTGTAGTTAAACTACCCTAGTGTTGAAGGAGGGGCGTTGAAATTTTCACCTCTACATAAGAGTCCAACCAGACGCGTTGGTATACGCTTTGGCTCAAAGGTAAACAAAAGGTGTTTGCTGAGCATATTTTCTGAAAGATATTATATATTATATATATATATGTTTTAATGTTGCTTCTGTACCCTAGAAACATAAAGAATGCATAATGCACATAATGCACTGCTTGAACAATCGGCAAGGGAAGTTCCACTCATCGTTGCCAAACATGTAGTTCTTCTTCTTCTGTTTATAGTTGGCCTCTTCGTCCACAGCGGTTTCAGCCTTGAAACACTCGTTGACTTGGTGGTAGATTCGAGAATCCTGGGGTATAGTTTCGCCAGCGAACTGATGACATTCCGCATACTACTGCGGGAGCTAGGTGTGTTGTTCCTGTAGACGGACTCCTATTCAAGCACAGGGTTTTTGCAATGCATTTGCTCAGCTTCAGCACCAAACAGGTGTTGCGAGCCATCAAAGGGCCATCCCTGAAGAAACGAACCTTCTTTCCCACTGTGAGATTTTCAAGGCCTGGATTCACCTGCGAGCCTTTTGTGTAATGGTTTTTGGTCCCTGGGGAGGAAGCCCCTGCGATCGGTGGCCGGTCGCTGCCGGTCGGTTCGACCGTGTTTTTCCGTTCGCTTCATGAGGCGTCCAGCGTCGTTCAGCGTCGTTTCATGTCGGTCCAGGCCTTCCAAGCAGCTCAGATGGCTGCAGGTCGCTTCTTCCAAGTCCATGATGCAAAGCCTGCCATTCAGAGAAGAGATGAGGATGAGAGGTGGACTGTGGACTATCCCTGACTTGTTGATTCAGTTCGTCCAATAACTATATATAAATATACATACACATACAATTATGTACATATACATAAACATCCCGCCGGGTTCGTTTCCGCGCGTGCGGTTGAAGACATTTGTCAAATCTTCACGTGGTCAATGATGACGAATGTCCGGTGTGTGACTGTGTTTTGCATTGATGTGAGAGGTTTGTTGCAGCATGTAGTACATGAAAACAACTCAAAAATCGTTGCGATTTTGAGATCGAAATGCTACGAGACTGTGGTTTTGTGCGAAAAAGGCGCGATTTTTCATCCTCCAGCATCATCATCACAGTCTGTGGGACAACTTCTGACCCAGCTTCGTCAGAAGATCGTATTTATTCTGGTGCCAGCGCCATTGCCACTGTCGAATGAACTTCATGATGTTTGGGTTTATACCGTCACCTTCACGTGAACGCAAGCTAGTGGGGACCGACTCCTTACACAAACGCCGCATACCATCAATGGCACCGGTGTGGATGAGCAGCTCTCCTGACCTCAAGCATCTGACAATCCCCCGAACACTTCGGAATAAGCAAGCAGTCGGTAACCACCACGCCAGGTTTCCATGCGTCGACGGATAAAAAAAGAACTGACACACCCCGACCACCTGTGCGTACCGACCTGTCTGTGTGTGTGTGTGTGGCTTTATCTTCGTATGCGCTATGATGCAACGTCTTTAGCCCCCTACCCAACCCCCCTGTGTTTTGTAGGGTCCTAGGTTCCCCTAGGCGTGTCTACGCTATACTATACGTGTGTAGCACCTTTTGTCTGTAGTTACTTGTACATACATTCTCTTCAGTCAGCAGCCGCTTAATTCATGTGGCTCAAGCCCAGTACCTGCAGGGTCTTACTTGGTGTTTTCGATCAGGTCCAGTGTACTTCACTGCCACATGCTGCCACTTTGGGGAACCTACCCCTCACCCCCACCCCCTCGTCCACAGCGTGTGCGTGTGTGGCTTCCTAATAAAAATACGCACAACATGAACATCACTAGCCCCCCACCCAACCCCCCCTCCCCCCTAACCCCCCCGTTTCCCCATCTTCCATATTCCAATGCGTGTGTTTGTGTGTGTTCTTGCCCCCCCAAAGGACTGTATGAAAAATCAGTTTCACTACACGCGCGGTTTGAAGCCCATTAGCATAAACGTGCGTTACATACATACATACATACATGCATGCATGCATACATACATACATACATACATACATACATACATATGTGTATATGTCTGAGGGTTTCCGGGAAGTCGTGAGAAGGTCTTTCTGGATGACACATCCTTCTTTCTGGGTGGTTTCCAGTCTCGGAGCTGCCAGGCAAGAGTTGAGCAGCATCGAGAACTTTGCATTTGATCAAGTGCACTTCCACTACCCGGCTCGGCCCAGCGTGAAGATCTTGAACGGAGTGTCTTTGACGATCCAGCGGGGTCAGAAAGTGGCCTTTGTGGGGGAGTCGGGCTCCGGAAAGAGCACCATCATGGCCCTATTGGAACGCTTCTACGACCCAAGCTCAGGCATGGTCTCTGTCGATGGGCAGGACATGCGGAAGTTCAAGATCAGCTCCTTAAGACGATGTATTGGCTATGTGGGGCAGGAGCCGGTGCTGTTCTCCCAATCGATTCGGGCGAACATCATGCAAGGGAATCCGGAGGCCAGCAAGGAACAGTTTCAACAAGCCTGTGCCGATGCACAGCTGGGCTTTGTCGAGAACTTACCGGAGAAGTACAATACCTTTGTGGGAGTTCCTTGGCGCAAGTGCTGTGCCAGGGACATTTCTTTGGATGCAGTTTGGGGAGATCGAGATTTCAGTTGTAGATCATTGCAGACACAGACACAGAGGTTTGAGTGTTTTGAATCGAATAGACACTATTCAGACTTTAATCCACACTCCCAGACCTGCAACTGTATGATTTCAAACAAATAGAAATAATTCAATCACAGGGCATGAATGTAGAGCTAGTCACCTGGACACGCAACGACACGGTTCCAAAAGCTTCGAATCAGCCAATGTACCAAACAGAGCGGTGCTACCAGATGTGACAAGTATGCTTGGAAGGCCAGATTAAAGCCACATAGCACTCTTTTTCCAGAAGGGTTTTGAGGTCAATTCCATTAATCCACTCGGAGCTCGGACCAGATGTGCTTCGAGGCTGGCGGTGGACAGCTCTCGGGTGGGCAGAAGCAGCGCATCGCCTTGGCCCGAGCCTTGCTGAAGGAGAGCGTTTTGGCCATCACCTTGGCCGCGACATGGTTTTGCAGCTTCGCAAAAGACAGCCTCGCTTCGTCCCCAAAGCATGTTGTGAGATGCCAAAGGGCCGCGAACAGATCATCAGTCCCTCTCAAACCTCATCTAGATCCTTTCATTGAAGGGGAAAGCACGGTTCGTCCCGTGATTCACAGCCTGGTGAGGAGGCGTCCTTCCTCTTCTTGGATGAGGCCACGAGTGCATTGGACAATACCTCTGAGAAGATGATCCAGCAGATCCTCGGAGTGAAGAGAAAGAAACTTGTGGACTCTGAAGAGGGACCTGATGGCTCCAAAGAGGGAGTTCCTGGATGTCTTAAACATGTTTCAAGGGATTCTTTCTTTCAGCTACGATCCATTTGGACAGACTGAATTTTAGAGGGTGACCAAGAGGTTGTCTTGTTCTACCCAAAGTGAGTGGCAGCAAACAATATTTCTTGGTAAGCCCGTATTTGCTTGTGGGATTCCAGCCTCATTGAAGCAAGGACCATCGACAGCATCAGCAGCAAGGGCGAAGGTACCCGTCGCTTGGGTATCGTGAGCATTGCCCACCGCTTGAGCACCATCCGGAACTCTGACCTGATCTATGTCTTGAGCAGGGGCGAGGTGTGTTTCCTTTTGGAAGCAGAAGCGTCCACATCTAGGTTTGATGAAATGTGGGATACACCAATCAGACTCTCACCGGAAACAGTGATCTTGCCTGTGAGGGTTTCTTGCATGTATGGATTGATCAACGAAGTCTAAGTCTTGTTTGGTAGGTTTTTACAACGCATGCAACGCATGAAGCTGCTTTTGTTGATTCTGTCCTTGGAAGGTGGTCGAACAGGGCAATCACGAAAGTCTGATGGACCGCAAGGGCGTCTACTACGCACTGGTTGCCGCGCAAGAATCCTCAGAGAAGGTAGGCGAGGAGGATGAGCCGGATATCCCACACCAGCCAACAGTGGCTTTGATGAGGGCGCATTCTGGGGAGAGTGATGAATCTGAACTGGCTCGCAAGGAGCGGGAGAAGAAGGAGGAAGAGGACCGTCAGAAGAGTATTAATGACAACTACAAGGTGTGGCATGGGTCTCAAATCACATAAAGCCTCCTGTCAATCATCGCGGCCCACACAACCTTCTCGCGATGTTTCATGGATTCTTTTCCTGGTTTTGAAGTGCTGTGTTCAGACCGGCTTCTGTAGGTGCCTATGTCTCGGCTCATGAGTTACAACAAGCCGGAATGGCCTTTCTTCGTGCCTGCCATCCTTGGAGCCTTGATCGAAGGTGCTGCCATGCCGGTGTGTGCCGTTGCCTTGGTGGGATCCATGGATGCCTTCTTCAAGCTTCAAGTGCCGGCAACCAGAGAGGAGGCCATAGCTGAAGCATGTGGGAGAGTGGGCGTGGAGCCGGATTTAGGGAGATCTGTGGAGATTTGGAGTCCACAAGCCGATCACATCGGACAATGCCGATGCTAGCCGATGCGAATCCTTCATCCTATGTCCACCCCATATTCTTCTCAGCTGAACATTCAACCATAGACTCATCAATTTCCATGGTCTTACCCTTCGACACTGATCACCACAGGGGAAAAACGATCAACAACAAACCTTCCACAAAAGGCCAGATGGGTCTCACATCAGAGGCACGAGAAGAAATCCTCTTCCTGTGCTTGGTCTTTCTGATCATTGCGGTCTCTGTCCTGGTGGGTTGTGTCATCGAGCATGGAAGCTTTGCTCTTCTGGCCGAGTCCATGACCTGCCGGCTTCGAGTGGCCATCTTGAAGGCGATCTTTCGACAAGAGATTGGCTTCCACGACGATCCAGAAAACACACCAGGCCCGGAAGGTCTCGTCCAAGCAAAACCACCTCACCAAGAAGTGGCACCTGTCCACCACCCCGTGAAAGGTTTTGTTGACTCTTTTTTGACCACGATTGGGATGTCAAAGGCCTGCGCTCAGGCGCAACGCCCCTGTTGCGGCCCAGGCATGATGTCCAAAGCCTTGGAGATCTGGGCCTTCCGTGTGAGCACGCTGTGCAAGTCCATTGGCGCCAAAGCGGCGGCCCTGAGCTCCGTCTTGGTGGGTCTCATCATCGCCTTCGTCTACTGCTGGCAGATGGCTTTGGTGATGCTGGGCACCGTGCCCATCATGGTCGCCGCCAACGCCGTGCAGATGTTGGTCATGCTGGGCGCTTCCAAGGTGGACAATGAAGGGATCAAACATGCAGCACAGATCGTGAGCGATTCCGTCATGAATGCTCGCACGGTTCAAGCCTTGAATGTGGAGAGGAATTTAGTGCAGATGTATGCGACGTTGGTGGGGAAATCGACTGAAGGCATGTGGAAGCGTAACTTCTTGGCCGGGCTTGGCTTTGGCATTGCATCTGGAGTCATGTTCTTTGTCATTGCTGGAGGCTTCTATTACGCTTCCGTCCTCCGAAGGGAGGGTGTCGCCACCTTCAGTGATACGATGATGGCCTTCATGGGTGTCTTCTATGCTGGCTTGGGTGCTGGGCAGTCGGCAGTTTTCATAGGTGATGCAGCGAAGGCGCTGAGCGCGCGAAGTTGCAGAAGAGTAAAACTGGTAGGATGAAACAAGCAGAGTTGACATGTCTTCCTCCAACCGCAAAGTGACAAACACAACACACGCTGCTCTGTTACGCTAAATTTCCCTCTCCTGGGTGCCTGTATTCAGAGCAGCTGGGCTTTTTGGACCCAAAAGGGGTGGCCGTTACTCAGCCCCGGATCTTCCAAGTTGAAGAATTCATGACATGCATCCAATGTAGCAGGCTCATAGCAACACCTGGCTTTGCATCCATTTTGGTGAGGCCAAGGTGGCTTGCCATGACATGTTCAAGCTGTTGGACCGTGCCTCCAAGATTGACGGCATGGAGCCCAAGGGAGAAGTGCCCAGTGGGCCAACTGCCTTGGAGGCTGGCACCATCGAGTTTGATCAGGCGACCTTAGATTGCTTGAGAGGTCATTTTGTTTTTTTCTGTAGTGTGCTTCAGTTTTTTTTGTTTTTTTAATGCTTTTTGGAGAGACACTGCTCTAAATACAAGCAAGGTATATACATATATGATATTATATATGTTTAATAGTATCATATACCATATCTGTATACTGTCTGTACATTGCAGTAGCCTGAGGGGTTGGGATAAATCACCACCAGCCCCTAAGTGCCTAAGCCTCTAAGCGCCTAAGTGATCAGCCACCAAAGAGTACGAAGTCTCAGAGTGCCTAAGCCAGCACCTAAGCCTCTAAGCGCCTAAGTGTTTAAGCGTCAAAGACCGTCAAAGGTTTCTAGATCCGGAATACGTTTAGCCAAACCAAAGGCTCTAAGTGCCGAAGCCACCCGCCTCAGCAATTTTGGCACGGGCTGTAGTTTGAGGTTGGAGGAAGTTGTATATATATATATATATATATTGGCGGCCATGAATTTCGAGGAACTCGTGTAGATAGGTGACCATTGGCTAGGAGCCCACTTGCAAGAGAAAGTTGCTCCAAGATGCAAGTGCAGTGCTTGCGGTCGAAGATCGCCAAGCAGAAGCTCGCAAAGATGCACAAGTTTTTGCCACCTAGGCTCTGAATTTGTGTGAGCACGTTCATGGCAAACCGGCATACGGAGACAGCATACTCTAGAGCGACCAGGCGATCTCGCATGCCCTCTGTGCTTACCAGCAGCACAACAACCAGAAAGGAGCCCGATGCTCGCCTGCCACGGTGGTGCGGGAGGGGGCTGAGTCTTCTGTATGCAGTGGCTGCGTGGCCGCTGGCAAGCCATGCCTGTTTTCCTGAACCACGGCAAATCTTTGCAAGCTGTCGCCATCAATTGTCAGAAGATATGTGTTTCAGCATTCGGAGATTGAAGTGTACGTGTTCTTGCCATTGCCCATTCAAGCGTTTGTGCTCAGTCTTTGGAGCGGTGGAAGCGGCATCTCAAGACGCAAGGCAGTTGCTGTGGGAAGCGGCGTGTACCAGAAGCCCGTTTCTGCTTGTGTTGTGGCCAGGCTTTGCAAGATCTGTAGCGCTTGGATTCGCTGTTGTAATTCTTGTGTGTGTTTTGTTTCAATCATGACCGTGCGGTGCAGGTCAAGCTGTTTCGAAGAGATTGCGTTCAATTTTTGGTCAGACCGGACCTACAGCCTACATTAAGCAAGCATCTCTTGCCAGTCCACAAACACAGAGCGCCGCAACTCGCCCGGCATGTGGGAGGTCGTGGTGGCTTTGCGCTTGTGGTTGCCAGGCTGATGTGCGTCCTTTCCTGCAGGCGTAGCAGAGGACTTGCTTATGATCGAGATGGTCTCCAGCTACGTGACCTCGACCTTCAGCCAGAAAGATGTGCGAGGGATTCGAAAGCCAGTCCGGAGAAGATTCACGTTCGTGTGGCGCTCAAGGAAGCAGCGACAACGCCGGCCTGCGGCTTCAGCGATAGTCCCCACTTTGGTTTGAGGCACCACGGAAGACCACGTTAGACGTAGAGGCGGAGAGGCTGGAGAGCAGTCGCAGCAGGATATAGAGGCTGAGGGACTTGGAGGCGTGTGGCGATATATTGAGACCCTGCTGCCGCTGCCCTCCATATAGTAAGTATATAATAAGAATGTATATATACTTCACTGCTAATATTTCGCCTACACAATTAGAAAACCCAATTTCCTTTGAAGAGCTTATTTTGTAGAAAACGTGTCCTAGCTCAAAAAATGGGCGCGGTCATTCTATAGCAAAAGCCGGCCAACAGGCACCTCCATTCTATAGTCATAAAAAAAAATTGTGTTTGGGTGTGACGAATGACCCTAGAAACATATGGTTGGTAAAATGTTTTGCCGTCCACTGTTTTATATTTTGTACAGGAAGAGGGCTGAGTCGGTTCGGAATGCGTGTCAGAGGCATTGAACCTACTGAAACCAATTTTGGCCTGATTTTCTTCTACAAAATGCTTGTTCCACAAACCCCTTCTGGGACAAGAACCAAAGAGACATTCTTTAAGAAACCCCCTGTCCACAAGTCCAATGGACGAAATCCTAAGGCTATACAGTAAGGCTCTTCAAAATTGCTGAAGAAACAACATACTACCCAACAAGATCATATTTAGATTCTTTTCCTGCAGTTGCGCAGCCAGTCATTGATACAGAGCTCCGGTAACAGGATCTTTTTCAGTTTCGAGTGCGCAATATGATTGTTTGTTTTTTTGGTGACTTCATAAACAGGTGACTAGTGATCAACTTTGCACCTGAAATCATTCCCCCCCTCCTGATTTTGTAGGGCGTCTCTCATGTCACACTTTTGTAGAATTTTTTGGGCGCACCCATGAACAAAGACCGGGCCATTGCTCCTGTTGGAGCATAGAAATTGTGCCATCTTGTTTTAGGAGAAGACATGGAGAAGTAGGGTCCTGTTTCGGGTTGACTATTTATCCGATCACAGTAAAACAAAACGCACATGCTGGGTCCGGGGGTCAGCCTGACAATTCCTCTGCAAAATCATGCGCCCCGGAGTGTGACTGAGTGTGAGGTTAATCGGAGACGCCGTTGGGTCCTGTTTGGGCATTCAGCAGCAATTCAAATCGGTCATTCTCTAGACAACGCTTGTTTCTCATGCCTTGAGATGTGCACATTCAGATGAGTCATATTGTAAACATAATTTATGGGGTGAAACCATATCATTTTGTAAAGCCAGATATAAACCTTGTCATTTTGTACACGGGTCCTCTTTTAAATGGGTGGCCCAGGATGATCATGCTATTTTTTTACGCAGGGATATACATATAATATATATATATATAGATGTTCCATTGTTGTGAGTTCAGCAAGACAAAGGTGAAATTCTTCTACCCCTTCCGACCAGAAATCCAAGTGCTCAAGGGTGTGAACTTCAAGATTCGCAAGGGCCAGTCTGTTGGCTTGGTCGGGCCTTCTGGAGGTGGGAAGAGCACAGTGATGTCTTTGATCCAGCGTTTCTATGACCCGCAGGACGAGATCTCACAAAGGTGTGTGGAATCCAAAACTGTGCGAATCGGGTCCCTGATCTGATCCATCAAACATCCGTATTGACTGGTCCCCTGGCCAGTTTTCATCCATCTCCGCCCCCCCGACATTAGCCTCCGCCGCAGGAAGGATCTGTCTACATTGGCGAGGCCCGAAAGCCGCTGGCGGAGCTGAACATTCGCTGGTGGCGTCAGCAGATCGGGTTTGTCGGGCAGGAGCCCGTCTTGTTCAACACCAGCGTGCGGAACAACATCCTCTATGGGGTGGACGGTGATGTGGATGAGGAATATATCAAGAAGTGCGAGAAGATGTGCAATCTGAAGTTCCTCTACAAGCCGCTTTGAGATCTGAAAGTGAGTCTTTCAATCGTTTCATTTCTGACAGAAGTTGTTTCTTCAATCATATTCTCATGCTCTTCAAGCAATAGGCCTTTCATCCCGCTGGAGCCCGACCAGTTTGAAGAAAAGACTTGAAACGTTGAATGGGTCCACCGACTTGCATGCCTCCGGATGCATGGCCTCCTCGGCCCAAGGTCCGGCAATCAAGGACTGGCCACGGAGGTCGGGCCCCGTGGCAGCCGCTTGTCCGGTGGGCAGAAGCAGCGTGTGGCCATCTGCCGTGCGCTGATGCGGAACCCTGCAGTGATGCTGCTGGATGAGGCGCTAAACGTTTCTCCCTGTGTGCCGGGACTTGTTCGGAGGCCGAAGAAGAACATGTGGAACCGTGATTTCTGTGGGATGCTGTTGGAAACGTGTCTACGCGGGTCAACGAACAACGAGGGTCAAGTACTCAAAGACTTTACTGCTCCACATGCTCCTACTGATGCCAATGGGGAAGTCTCCACATCGCCATCCAACCCAACCCAAAATGATCCTAAAGCATTATGGGTGTGGCACCTCTTGATGTGGGCAAGAACTCTCGAGGGTCGCTCAAGGGCTATTCCACTCTTTGATCAGACGAATCCCTTTGGGCGCGAGCGCGTGTGCGACCGCCACTCTCACTCTCAGGCGACCAGTGCCTTGGACTCGCAGAGCGAAGCCATCGTCCAGGAGGCGCTGAACGCTGCGCGCGAGGGCCGGACCTCCTTCGCCATTGCCCATCGCTTGTCGACCATTGAGAGCTGCGACGTGCGGGCGCCCGACTTGGGACTTGTGGGTAGTTTTGGGAAGGTGGTGGGAGGTGGGGTGGGAGAAGTTCCAAGTCTTGTTATATAGTATTTCTTGGGTCGTTGAGTCATCGAATAAGTGCGCTTTCTGAGGTGATCTTGGTGAACGCCGACGGGCGTGTGGTCGAGTCCGGCACACATGGAGAGCTTATGGCCTTGAAAGGGGTCTACTACAAGCTACAGATGCAGTCCCGCAAGTAGCTTACAGATGCAGCAAAGTAGCTGGAGCCGCTGGAGTCGTAGAATCTCTGAGCTTGAAGACTCACGTTGGAAGAAATCCCTGGTGTTCATTTCTACCGTATTTTAGGCGAACAACTGGTTCAGGATTTCTTTCATCAGAGTTCGGGTCATCTTCCGGTTTGGAGGAGTCCCGTTTTGCAATCAAACTTCCGGTGGCGGCTGTCCTGCCGGCCTCAGCAAACGCTGAGAGCGAAACAAGGCCAGTTTCTTCCGCCAGAAAGTGCACGGAGAATCAGTAGCCTTTCAGATCGTGTGATACTTCAAAGCCAAAAGAATCTGCATGTGTCCGAGTTGTTCGACTTCGCCAGACATCACGGGAGCCGTTTGGTGTTTTCTGGAAGCTGCTTTCTCCTGGAAGTGGATCTTCCTCCGGTTCGGAGGAGGTCCCCATTCTCTTGAGTTTTGGTGTGCGCAGTAAAGTACTGCGACTGTTGCAAGGTTCCGCAGGGTAGGATGATCCCGCAAAAACTTCCTGATGGCGTACTGCTGTGGATTTCGCGCGGACACGTGGAGGAAAAGGGCTCTCATGCGGGTTGCCAGTAAGTGTTGTTGGTGTCAATTCCAAAGGGGCACGGCACATCACAGTAATGATTCTGCAGGCATCTTGGCTGATATAGTGCAGTCTATGGCCAACGCTACATGGAATTACATAATATAAATACATTCATATATATATATAATATAGATACACATACAACCATTATACACATGTATGTATTATGTTTTTGTATGTATATAAAACATGTACATACATACATACATACATACATACATACATACATACATACATACA